TGTAGAATTTTCATAGGATTCTAATCCTATGGATTTTTTCCTCTGGTAATCGTTTGATTTACAGGAATAGAAACCTTGGGAATCAATCCTATGGATTTTTCCCTTCTCTATTTCACAGGAAAGTTCCCAAGAGGTGGAAGCTCTCGGAAAGAATCCTGGGGGAAAAAAGCGCGCGCGCTCGCTCACCGCGCGCTCAGTTTTCGCGGTAAATAAACGCTCGCGTAACTTCTCACAAGACACATCGCAAACAGAAGCACCGCCCCCCAGTTCCTTCAGCATCGACCTAGTCGTGCTGCGCCGCCACGGCCGGCCGGCCGCCCGGCCTTCTGCCCAGGTCCTCGGCCTGCTGCCTGGCCTTCTGCTCAGCTGGTCAGCTCCTCGGCCGGCCTCCTTGCTTCTATTCCTCCGTATAGGAAGTCCAGCAACAAGGTACGAGGCAACTCCAAAAGCCAGATCCGGTCCTCCTTTGCTTCCCATGATTTCCCATGAATTTGTAGATATTATACACATAGATTAGACTGATTTGCTTAGTATTAGTTTGCAACCTGCTGTAGATTCTCTCTGATTTTTTAGATCGAGCTTGTTATTTCAGGATTTGGGGATTTTCTTTGCAGCTATTAGGTAAAAAAATAAGAGGTCTCAGATTTGACTAAATTCTCAATTCACTATGTATTTGCTAATGTCTAGCTCGTTTATTTAGCAATTGAGTTGCACGACTGTGTCCTGATGGTACCCATATTTTTACTTTTCCTCTGGTTCTTTGGCACTGTATGAGCAGCATGAGCTTATTTTCTTCATAGCTATTGGATCATCACGTGGTAATTTTTTTGTCTGCACAAGGCACTAAAATTTCCCTTTTCAAGGATTCTATTCTGAACAAATATCATTTGTGCCCTGTAAAAATTGTATGCCAACAATATGATGCATGTAGATGGCTAATCGACGTTGCTTGTCTGAGCGACAAGGCCATCATCTGCAATCAAATGGTGCAATTGATCTTGAAGTTGATGGTGGGACTACAGGTCTTCATCCAGAAATAGGTAAGTTCTGATGTTACGGTGACACTGATAAACTTAGATATGCAATTTTATTTTATTTTTTGATCTGTTATTGATTTAGAAACTAAATTTGTACAATTATGTTGAATATCTAGGAATCACAAAAGGTAACTCTCGAGCCAAATGGAGTCACCAAATGAAGTTGTACCTTATTAAACTCCTAAAAGATCACGATGTGCCTGGTTTTCGGACACAGAATGCTTGGAGCAAGGAGGCATGGAATAATATTCTTCATCAACTCAATCAAAAGTTTGATCAGTCATTTACTCTCAACCAAGTCAAACAGAAGGAGCAAGATCTGAAGAGAGACTATCATACTGTGAAAAAGTTGTTGGATGTAAGTGGCTTTGGATGGGATAAGGACAGAAAAATGGTAGACGCACCTGATAGTGTTTGGGCAAGCTTTACTGCTCGTACGAACAGCAAGGATGCTCTCCAATGGAAAGAAAGATCATTTCCCTTTTATGAAGAATTAGCTCCACTCTATGAAGGTGACTTCAACATAATATTCACAATTCCATTGTAACTATTTTACCTTGCAGCCTAAACTTTGTATATAATGTTTGATTGTTCTAAGCAAGTCTTTGGAACTATTCTCTAGGTCGTTATGCTAAAGGGAGAACTCGCCAAGGCATGGACCATTATACTAGCAAGAGGAAGTATGCACCAGTTTCCTTGTCACAGTTGACACCGATGGCTGATCTCGATCAATCACCATCACCTACTATGCCGGTTACCGGTGAGTCGGACATGCGGTTTACTTTAGATGAAGAACTTGAGGAAACCAACTTGGATTCTCCCCCGCATCTATCTACACCTATTCAGCATGTGCAAGCCCCTCCAAGATCCACACAAATGGAGAAACATGACACTAGGCGTGGGAAAAAACAGAAGCGTAGTGCTACTGATGACTTCCATGAGAAGTATTTAAAACTGAAGAAGGAAGAAATTGATCGATTTGCTGCCATTGAGGATAAGAAGCTAGAGGACCCCTACAGCATCAACAAGTGTATCACAGCAATTGAAGGCTTGGAAGGTCTACAACTAGGAGATATGCTGATGGCATCAGATATCTTCAAATGTAAGGAGAACAGGGAAGTTTTCTTGTCCTACTCTACTAATGAACTACGGTTGGCTTGGCTTAAAAGAGAGATTGCACGTGCCCAAACAAATGATCAAAATTAGCCATTGTGGTGGACTGGTGGTGATCCACTATGATCAGAGGTCATATTTTAGGGAAGCTTTTGGTCTGTGGGTGTCATATACTTTTGTCTAGTTAAATTGGTCATAGAACTGACCATGATGGTTTAGTATATTTTGATAGGTATGTCGAGAGACTTTTGGTTAGGCATGCAGCAAAACTAGCTTGATCATAAGCATGAAGTCCAAGAATGGTATTACAACTTGCATCTCATATTTCAAGTACATGAATGGTAGCAGAACTTGGATAAAATATTACATATTCTGAGATCTTCGTGATACATATTGTGCCCACATTTGCTGTGCTATATAATCTCATTTTTGATTCCCAGCTTCTCTGGAGTAATTAAAAGCATGTATATCATTGTGATAGTTGTGGTCTCCACTTGGCACATCAACAAATTGTTCTTGATCAATCTCCACAGTAGTATTCTCAGGCCATGAAAAATCTCCATCATGCAAACGTATGAAATTGTGCAGCACACAACTAGCAACTGATATGTCAATTTGTTTGGTCACCGAGTAATGTGAAGCCACTCTCAATATCGGAAATCTCATTTTTAGTATACCAATAATCCTCTCGATATGATTTCGGAGTTGTGCATGTCGTAGGTTGAATAATTCCTTGTAATTTATTGGCCTTTGGCGAGCTCTTCCTTGTTCTTGTAAGTGGTACCTAGTACCACGATATGGAGCCAAAAGTTGTGGTGTGTTTGCATAACCAGCATCTACAAGGTAAAATTTTCCGGGGGGTACTTGAAAACCATGGTTAAGTGCATCCTGTAGGACTCTTGCATCTGAAGCCGATCCCTCCCAACCAGCATGCACACACACAAACTTCAGATCAAAATCACATGCTACCATAACATTTTGCGACAATGTTTGCTTCCTATTGCGATATGGTTCTTGCTCATCAGCAGGTAGTTTCAATGGAATATGTGTACCATCTATAGCGTTGATGCAATCCTGCATAAATACAAGTACATAAGCCATATAATCTTCTCTGTAAAATTTTGAAATTATGTTACTCTAACTTGATCATAAGCATTTATACATACCATAAAGAAAGGGTAGAACTTTTCTTTACTCAAGATTGGATGCGGGTGTAGGGAAGGTGGACGTATGTATACAGAATAGAGTTCAGTAATTGCACTGAGCACTTCACCAAAATAGTAACTGATTGTTTGTCCACTATGCTGAAACCAATCTGCCAAAGTATCATTTGTTGCATTCTTAGATAATGCATACAAAAATATAGCCACTTGTTCTTCTACTGAGACATCTCTTCCATCAACAAGGCGATCATTCTCGCGCAATTTCTGAACCAAAGCTTGAAATATATCAGTCTCCATTCTGAAGTGCCTTTTGCATAGGTCTTCATGTCCATTTAAAATTTCATTTACACGCCGTGCGCCTGTGAGTATTGAAGTGTGCATAGGTCTCCTTGAGGAATATGAGTGTTCTCCTAAAGTAGGAAGAACAAAAAGAGCAAACTCATCCTCACTCTTTGATCTGCGACAGTAGCTAGGATCCATTGGACGCTATGAAAACAAGCCTGTGGAAAATTACTGAGTTATCATGACTTCACAAGTTTAAATGTAAACTACTTAATTTGTCTAGTCAAAACTTGTACTAGTAATTTATTGGTCGATCAACAAGGACTAATTCTGGCATGCTAGTCACTTAGTGTTACTCTGGATTTTTGGCAGATAACTGATACAGCTTAGTGCAGATCATTGAACTGGGTGATGATATTAGGACACCTGATTTGATTCTTTCTTGCATTTTACCTCTACGTGTATGTTTGAATAAGTTACAGCATGCAGAAACCAAAAAAGAATATAGCTTCTGATGGTGATGGTTGTTGCTGACATGATGCTATGGGGTGGCCGGGTGGGTTGAAAATTGTAACCACGAAACTAAAACAGACATGGCGCTGTCGATTTTCTAGATTTCGGATGGCCAGCGACAGCAAAGGAAACATGTACAGTAGGTGAACTAAGTTGAGATTTGAGAGACAACCAAGCAAGTGCAGCAAAGGGAATATATACATTAGAAGAACTAACCTCAGATTTTTCAGAGACGGTCAAGCAAGTACGAGGAAAACTTCAGCAAAACTTCAGCTATAGCAAAGACTTGCTTGTAACGTTCTGGTGCATATGAATCGAAACTTGTTCTTAGAGCTGTATGAAGTGCAGAGCTTGTATATGTACTGCTGCAACCTAACGGCTAGTTTAGTGACCAACGGCTACTTGTTTGAATGCACAGCCTTCAAAATAATAATATTATA